TTAACAACCCTCTCCTTTTTATTGGTCCTGATGTTCCACCAATCAAGCTACCCTTTCTTTTTGCAATTCTGCTGTCTGTTAACAGGTCCTATTAATGAAATCCCTATTTCATAGCCCTGCAAATTGATTTTTAACTCATGCCAATGAAGTTATATTTGTTTTTACTTCAATCTTAAACTGAATATACAATGCTAAGCCCCTAGCAGATACATAAAGCTTCTAGTTTATTTTAACTGGAGAAAAAGGTGCTTTTTTTTTTATATGTGATGATGATGCACCTCATTCTGTACAGCCCCCTTTTAAAAAAAAATCTAGATCTGCTCCTGTCTGCAGCCATAGCTTCAAAGTACATGCAACAATATTAGTTATTAGTTTAATAAACTGAATATTGGGAAGCTCTGGCAAAGATCTTTGTAGAAGATTAAGGTACTGATATGCGATATGGTACTATTTCTTCTAAATTAGTTCTTCAGTGCCAATACTTCACATGGGTTAAGTACAGACAGTCAAAAAGCCTGAGGCAATCTTTGCAGGTTAGTCTAAAATGTGTAGACTGAACTGATAATCAAGTGAACAGACATTCAACTTTTGATTCTGGAAATGTAACCACATGCTTGCAGTGGTCCAGGCCAGAAGCCTGGGGGGCACTAGGGCATACTTGGCTGGAGCAGACAGCTCGGGCCAAGACTAACCCACCCACTTTGTGGGGGAGGGAAAGTGGTGCAGGAGATGCAAAACATCCTGGGATACTGGAGGACTTTGAGTTAACTTGAATCTGGAGGGGATCTGGGACAGAAGTTCAGTAAACTGATTTAAGTTAAATCAGTTAAGTCTGATACTACATCCCTCCAGGTTGATCTTAAATTGTTTTCAGCCATTTTGAAAGCAATTTATGTGCACCGAACTTCTGTTGTGTTACAAATTTGAACCAGTTTCTGATCACTTCTGCTGGTTTGTCTGTAATTTCTGTCTCTAGCCATGGTGTTAAGGACACAGTTGCTTGACACGTTTTCAAATAGAAGATAAAAATCAGGGCACATGACCAAGGTACTGGAGTTAAATGAGGGTGGGGCTTTACAGTATGTTAGCTTCATTGTAATGTCTGCCAAGGTGCCTGCTCCTCCTATGTAGTAAATAAATTTAATCCATCATCACGTACTCAGTAAGAGAAGTTTTGTTTGCTTACTACAGGGAAAGAACATGTTTATGCGCTGTTACCATACTGATGCACTGCAAAGTGGTGTCTCTTTTACTGCACAGGAAGTAGTGAGCCCATTCTGTGGAATCTTGGCCTCTTGTATTCATTTAAACAGCAGAGGCACCAACCTCTGTGTCCTAAATCTATACTAAATTTGGGTAGTACATTCTACCTTTCTCAAATTCCCCACTAGTTTTCCACAAATAGGGTACTTCTTCACACACTCTCCTACAAAACAGTTCTCTAGTGTTGTTGTATACTTCTTAATAATTGCTGTATTTTACACTAGAAGTGGCTGTAGGTCATTCATTTATTCATTCATTCAATTTACATGGTGCCCTCCGTAAAATTGGCTCAAGACCGCTTACAAAACCCCGCCCAAGATAAATTGTAGAAACAGAGAGAATCATAGAAAATTAAGGTTGGAAGGGACCTCAGGAGGTCATTTAAGCCAACCCACCTGCTCAAAGCAGGACCATCACCAAAGAAATCATCCCAGCCAAAGCTTTGTCTAGCCGGGTTTTGAAAACCTCCAGGGATGGAGCTTCCACCACCTCCCTGGGTAACCTGTTCCAGCATTTTACTACTCTCCTAATGAGAAAATTCTTCGTAATATCTAACATACATAAACTTCCCATGCTGCAACTTGAGACCGTTGTGCCTTCTTCTGTCATCTGCCACCACTGAGAACAGTTTAGCTCCACCCTCTTTCAAACCCTCCTTTAGGTAGTTGAAGTTAAATCCCCTCTCAGTCTCCTCTTCTTTAGACTAAATAAGCCCAGTTCCCTCAGCCTGTCCTCATAAGTCATGTCCCCCAACCCCCTCATCCTTTGTTGCCCTCCACTGGACTCTCCCTAATTTGTCCACATCCTTTCTGTAGTGGGGGGTCCAAAACTAAGCACAGTACTCTAGATATGGCCTCATCAGTGCTGAACAGAAGGGAATAATCACTTCCCTTGACCTACTGGCAACACACACCAATGCAGCCCAGTACGCCATTAGCTTTCTTGGCAATAAGGGCATACTGCTGGCTCATATTCAGCTTATTGTCCACTGTAACCCCCAGGTCCTTTTCTGCAGAACTACTGCTTAGCCAGTCAAACCCCAGAAAAGTGCAGAACTCTGCACTTGTCCTTGCTGAACCTCATGAAATTCCTTTTGACCCAATCCTCCAATTTGTGTAGATCAGTCTGAATCCTAGCCCTACTCTTCAATGTATCTACTAGTTCCCCCGGCTTGGTGTCATCTGCAAACTTGCTGAGGGTGCATTCTATGCCATCTTCCAGGTTGTTGATGAAGATATTGAACAAAACCAGCTCCAGGACCAATCTCTGGGGTACTCCTCTTGATACCAGCTCCCAACTAGACCTTGAGCCATTGATTACTACTCCAAGCCTGATGCTCCAGCCAGTTTTCTATCCACACTACAGTCCATTCATCCAGCCCAAACTTCCTTAGCTTGCCTGGGGAATGTTGTGGGATACTGTATCAGAAGCCTTGCTAAAGTCAAGGTAAACCACATCCACTGGTTTCCCCACAACCACAGAGCCAGTTATCTCATCATAGAAGGCAACCAGGTTAGTCAGGCATGACTTGCCCCTGGTGAATCAATGCCAACTGTTCCTAATTATCTTCTCCTCCAAGTGCTTAGAAATGGATTCCTTAAGGATCTGCTCCATGATTTTTCCAGGGACAGAGGTGAGGCTGACTGGTTTGTAGCTCCCTAGATCCTCCTTTTTCCCTTTCTTAAATATAGGCAATATGTTTGTCCTTTTCCAATCATCTGAGACCTCTCCTGATCACCATGAGTTTTCAAAGACGATAGCCAACGATTCTGCAATCACATCAGCCAACTCCATCAACACCCTTGGGTACATCCCATCCAGCCCCATGGGCTTGTTCATGTCCAGCTTTTCTAAGTAGTCCCTAACCTGTTCTTTTACCACTAACGGCTACTAAACCCCTCCCCAAACTGTGCTGCTTGGACCAGTAGTTTGAAAGCTGACCTTGCCTGTGAAGGTTGAGGCAAAAAAGGCATTGAGCATTTCAGCCTTTCCTACATACTCTGTCATAAGGTTTCCTCCCCCATTCAGTAAGAGACCCACACTTTCCCTGATTTTCCGCTTGCTACCGATATACTTGTAGAAACCCTTCTTGTTTAGAATATTTAAATACGACAGCATGTGATAAAACAAATGAGAATATGTTGAATAAATTCAACTGCTAGTATCGGAGTAACTGACTTCAGGATTATGAGACCATTGGAGGCAGAGGGGAAGGATGTTTAGAGATCCCTTCAAATGATCACATGTAGGGGACCTTTGATTCATTCTGGTGCTGACAGCTCAGAGTAAATAATATTCTTCTACTTCTACACATTGATACTGTTAAAGCATTTTTATTAAATATCTAACGCACTGAAACTGTGTCCCCACATGCAGGGGTGTGCACTTGTAGTGGCACAAAAAGGCTGCTACTTTTTGCTGCTGCACATGCCCCTACATGTGGGTTGTGGTGCAGGGCCAAATGTCCCGCTAAGAGCAGATTGCTCCTTCTCAACTTCTCCCAGCTCCTGGAATGTTGGAGGAGCCAAGGTAGACCTAGAGGAGGCAAGTCACCCTCACCAGCAGCCAGAGCATCTCTCTGGAGAACCCAGCTTCCACTTGTGCTCCTGTGCACATGCACTGTGCTGCTTTTTTTGTTGTGGGGTTTTTGGGGGGGTTTTTTTGATACTGGGAGTTACCAATGTCAAATTTTGGTTCCATGCTGCAAATTTGCAGCATGGTGCACAGTTGCATGTGCACTGCATGTAGTTTGCAGCATCTCAAACAGGTTTGAGGCACTACAAATCATATGTGCATGCTCATCTGGATGTACTGTGAAGTACTGAAATAGTACTTTTTCCTTCCTGCCATGTGATGTACGATGTGTGATAAACAAGATGTCACTCACAATCAGGAATGTAAAAATCACAAATCACACATGGTAAAGACTGTGAAGATTAAAAGAACAGTGCAATTCTTTAAATGGGTGTTTACTGACAGGGCTCTGAGAAATCCCCAGCTTCTGAAGACTTTTTTATCAAATTTATTTCAGATTAGAGTGGTTAATATTTTTTCCCAAGGATTTATTAAATACTTTGGGTATTCTAAAGGATGATAGCATCTGACAAAAGTAGGCTGTTGCCTATGAAAACGGTTGCCCCTCTGAGCCAGTTAGTTTCTGAGGCACCATCTTGCTCTGCCTTCTGCCTGAAGGATGAAGGAGTATATTACAAATATATTAATATAAAATCATTAGACCAAATGCATAAAAACAATGAAGTCAGTGGAATTGAATTTGGCCCATTATCACATATGGTACGTTGGCAATAGGTACATGACAGCATACATACCAGTTTATATAACCTCTTGTTCCAAGCATTTGCATTTTAAAAGGTAGAAGTTAATAAGTAATACATGGTTTGGGCTACCATAAAGAAGGGTAAGTCAATTGGAAATCTAACAAATTCCATTTATACAAGAGAATATACTAGTATATAACTTTTTGAGCTGGAAAGGGTATAAACCAAGATAACCTCTGTAGGCAAAAGCAGGCAACAGCATGCCAATTATTAAAAACAAACTGTTCATGCACATTATATAGCAAAAGTCTCAATTTTAACCATACTTGAGGCTCTCCAAGATTTAAAAACAAAATCAGCAATAACAAACAGTCATTTGAAAATGAAGGTGGTAAAAAATTCTGTAATGCAGTTCACAAAAACAAAGAATAAAGCTTTGTAAATGACAAAGCAGCTTACCTTGAGAAGTTGAGGAAATGAACGTGTCTAGTGAATAAATAGGGTTGTTCAGCAATGCTTATATTTTTAATCAGTTCCATCTAAAAGAAATATTAACAAGATTAACATAAATATAAGTATACCAAGTCAATTTTTTATTAGAAACATAGTCCTCAAACAATATATAACCATTTAGTTTCCAAGTCCAAAACCTACTATAAACAAACAAACAAACAAACAAACAAACAAACAAACAAATAAATAAAGCTGCCTGTATAATCCAGGTAATTCTGTGACTACTCTTTTTGCCCATGTACGGTGAGTAAATGTACACAGGTCAATCATGTTGTCTAAGCTTCCACCTTAACACTGCAAATCTAGGTTGAAATTATCATACAGCCAGGAGTTCACTTGCTTCCAAAAGTTAATATTTGCTTTATTTTTAAATTAAAAACCCTTGCTCTGTTCAAATCCCGAATTCTGCAAATGGTTTGTATCCTTAAAAATAGCTTAAACACTGACTCTGGCAACTGCATTTCCAAAACCCAGTGTGCATCAGAAAGTGTGGCTGAAGCCATAACAGTTTTTACATAATGATAATAGTTCCTGTCATTGTTCAATTGCTATGGATGGAAGTCTGGTCATCTATACAAGCAAACGTTTACCATTTCTCTTTTACATGTCATATTAAGAATGTGACTGTCATTTATACTTCATACAAAATCCTTTTCAAAAGCTGGTGCCAAGTTTTAATTCTTTTAACCTACTTGCAGTCAAAACATTTTAGTACAAATTTTTAAGAACTGTCTCATTTTTTATTTGCATTATTAAAGATAATTAAAATGTTAACATAAAAAACAGCTGAGATTAAAAACGGTAAATGCATGGGGGGGGGTGTACATCCGTGTGTGCACAGACATCTATCTTTTATAGCATTCTGGAACATACTAGGGCCTGAAAGTGTTAAATGGAATATGTACCAAAAATTCCAAGCATTCTTGTTGCTCTGACTTCCTGACTTCTACTCTCCTCAGATTTTACTTGGCTGCATCTGTACTGTTCTCTAATACAAGCTACAATAGAGAATAAACAACATTGAACATGACAGCATTTGAAGAGCACAGAAATTAAACTGATACATTTTACAAACTGTGCAGAAACTGGAAAAAATTCATAGTTTAAAGAGAAGCAATAAAGCCAAACCAATTGCTTGATAAAATTTGGATAACTACGCAAGCTAAAAACAAGTAAAAGCAAAATAGAGACATACAATCTATTATTTAACGATTTAACTATGAATTATCCTACTAAAATCTGACAGAACTTAATAGAAAGTGAGCTCCATAGGGAGAGACATAATTTATATTAAATGAGACAGTTTGAAAGCCATGTAAGAAATGTTAGTGCTTCCTATTATATTCTATAAGACTTTTCAATGAGCAAAGCCGGCTACCCACCTTATTTTAACAACAAGGGGCAAAGGGTAAAAAAACCAACCCTTTCCACTACTGGGATGATAACTTCGGAAGGACCCAAACTATACAGAACTATGTCAGGCTGGAGAAATTTACCTTAGTGTGGAAAATCTACTTTGGCTACCCAATCCCCATTTTGATCTCTTGACACTGTCACTGGTTTTCCTTTATGTATCACAGTTCATTGCTACTTCTCAATTCTGTTTTTCATTTGTAATTTTGGATTTTTCTAAAGATTTTTATCATGACTGCATCTTTAAGTCATACTAAGCCTTTCCATCCTGGGGGATGGAATTAAAAAGCAACTGGATTTTCATAGTTTAGGGGTGCATCCACCTGTGCATCCACCTGTGCCATTAATGCACATACATAAACTCTAGAGTTTTTTTGCTCCCAGGCATACCATTTGAATGGGCTGGCAGGGGACCCAGTGGGGTGTGTGTGTCGGGGGGAGGGGTCAGCCTCAAGGCTGCTCTGACCAGGCTCCATGTGCTGCGCAGGGGCTGGCTGAGGCATAAGGTGCTTCAACACACCGGGTGCCTGATGACTAGCCCCACACTGAAGCACCCTGTATCCCAGACAGCTGGGGCAGGGTCTACACGTGTGTTGCTGCATACCAAAAAACTCTGCAGCAGGGGAGTTCTTGTATTTACAAGTACTCACCTGCTCTGGAGCTTATTAGTTTTATGCGCCCTGATAGGGGTGTACGTGTAGACAGGGAGACATTTACTATGCAGTTAATTAGTCAACTATTCAGTAAACATCTTATGTAGATGTGGCCTATCAGACATATGCCTCTCTATCCCTGTGATCAACAATAGATGCTCTCCCCAGTGTGTGTGAGGGCCAGTGATGTAGTCATGAACTTGTCTCCACCCTGTTAGGCATGCACCTCTACTGGTAGACTGTCACTGTCACACTTGCTCCAGCATGTGAAAGATCAGGGTTATTTCTTCTGGATTAGGTCTATAAATATTATGCACTCTAGGGAAGAGGAGAAAAAAAGAGAGGGGTTTGAAAAACAAAAAGTTAATGGGATGTGGCAACACAAAGGCAGAAGATACCCTGTGATAAAGCAGAGAAACAGGTCTATTGCTGAGGTCCCAATCTCCCACCAATTCTTATATGGCATAAAAGTTAATTGTAATAACAAAGGCAATTCTTGAAGTAATTCTGCAAAGTCATATGAAAATACAGTAACTCCCCTGACTGAACAGTATATGCTACCTTTTCCTAACAAACTACAGGCTGGAAACAAACCACAGTGATTTTAAGTAGCCATCCTAATTAATCTCTGGATTGCTTAAACCAAATATAAATAGCTTCTTCTACAACTCCCACAGTACAGTATTTCAAAGACTAACAGAGACACTTGCACACAATCTGGGCAAAAGAATATAAAGAACTAGATTAGATTGCACAGGGGAGCACAGAACACTCATTTTCCAGCAAAAGTTACTGTTGCCAAACAAATGTCAGCATCTTGAATTTGCTGAATAGGTGGCGGCTGTGTTTGAAGATCCTCATTAAGAGGCTCCCTTAGCTTCAAGCAAGGACTAGAAGAGAGGTTACAATGGCTGAATCTCAGGTGGCACTTCTTTAAAAAAAAACTGTATTGTAGGAAAAATGAACCTGTTGGCACTATATACTTTATGGTATATTTTAACTGCTTCATTTCACTTGCATGAACATGTGGCATAGGGAAGTCATTCACTACTGATGAATATTCACTTCACCACAACATGGTGCTGAAACAGTTCTTGATGGAATGTGTTAAAGCATAAATATGCACACATCCGTCTTGTAAAAATATATTACATGTGTCTTATATTAACATGCGTCTGTCTCTCTTACCAGCACCAGTTTGCTAGGGTTACCATATATCCAGTTTTTCCTGGACATGCCCTCTTTTTTGGCCCCCATGTCCTTGTGTCCAGGCAGGTTTTTAAAATTGGAGTACATGTCCAGGTTTTTGCTTTGCCTCTGCTTTCCCAGGCACTAGCAGCTTGGCTGCTTGGGGCTGGGAGCAATGGAGAAGGTGACTGGCTGTCAGGTGTCACGTGCTCTGTGTGCAGGCCCTGGCAAGCTGCTCCCAGGTAAGAGACACAGAGCATGTGTGTGTGCACACACATGCAAGCACACACCCAGGAGCTGTGTGGGCAGCAGGGCTGGGGGGGCAGGGTGCTTTGGGTCGGCAGTGAGGGGCACTAGCAGGGGTGGGGGGCAGGGGCTTAGGAGTGAGGGACAGAGGAAAGTCACAGGCATATCACTGCCTTCCCCATCATATACCCTTCCCTGCTCTTCCTACCCCCTCTGCTCCCCACCACCACAGGTGTCCTCCTTTTTGATACTGGAAATACAGTAACCCTACAGTTTGCCAACATAGCTTTCATGTCAGGGCACAACTCCAGAATTTGATTTCAGTGCCAGTCCTGGCTCAGGTTAAGTCTTGGGACTGGCTTAACTGAGGCTGGCATGGGTCAGGAACAAAATAAACTTGGAGAGCTCTGTGACAGTATTTGACTGCACAGTCTGACTTTATACAACACCTGCAACCACACTCAATTTCTAGAATGACGTTTCAGAACTCTTATGTCCAACTCGATGTCCAAAACTTGTGGCTGTATTTTCCATTGCCTCAATCCAATTCCACTTTGATGACTTGATTTCAACTTCAAGGCAAAATATGCTGGGTCAGAAAGGCTGGCAGCCTGACCCTCTTCTCAGGCAACTGTGGTTGCTCCCTACTGTGTAAAACATCTCTCTCATCCAAAATAAAGGCCTATCTTTTCTCAGGAAGAGGCAAGAAAAGAGTCAGTAGAGATTGATACTTAGGCTGCATACACTAATTCAAATAAACCAGGACACTTCTCCCAGGTTTGTTTTTTTGAGAGAAAAACTGACCTGTACAGAAATTCAGAGAGAGAAGCAGAGAGCTTGTAGTGAGGATGCTGGGCAGTCAGGGGCCCCGAAAGCATGCAACCAAGCAGAGAGCTTTGCAAGGGGGGTTTCTTTTGGGGTTTTTTTTTTTTTTTTTTTTTTTA